AGAAAGAAGGAAAGAGAATGATACGCAGGATAATCTGTTTATGACCCTTTTTGAATGGAGTGGCATGTCTTGAAAATGAAATTTAGAAAACTCAGCAAATTAAAAAATAATAATAATAAAAAGGCAGCAGCTTCCGATCCTTGTCTAGACTCTGGAATGAACAAGCAAAGCTGACGATGATGAGTGTCAAGCAATATTTACCGATCTCTACAAAGCTGTGAATGTAAAGAAAGACCTGAGTCATAAGCACAGGAAAGGAAATGAGATGCAGTATTTGCTGTGCAATTTCTGACTCACGGTTATCTGGGCAGAAAGCCTCCTTGCTTCTAGCAGATACATTTATATTCTGTCGGAATCTCAAGCTTATCAAGCCCCATTAACTAAGAAACTACTTGTGAGTTGATTTAAGACATTATTTTTTATAGGCGAGATTCAGAAAAATAGAAACATTGGTTGCATTTTTAACATAATTTCTTAAAGTAAAAATCAGTGGAGAATATTTTTCTTTATATTTCTTACATAGATAGATAGATAGATAGATAGATAGATAGATAGATAGATAGATAAAATCTACCTTAAAATAATATGATGGAAAATTATCTGGTCCTACAACATTGATAAATTATGGGTTAGTTATTTGCCTTGACTGATATTGCTTATTATATCCTGCGATGCCCTGGTCCCAACAGAGAAATAATCTTAATACTCATCACAAGAGAATTAATTAAATATTATGTATTTCCTTGTAATGGAAAATTACGAAGGTTTAAAAAGAGTGAAGAGGAACATCTGGAGCAGTGGTTAAGACCCCCCACATTTCATCCTGGGATGGCTTGGAGTGGTGGGGAATGAGCTCTACTTCCGATTCAGACTTTCAGTGGAAACACACTCCTAAAGGGAGCCAATGGCACAAGTGTTGGGAGATCTGGAGTTGTGTCTCAGGCATGGAGCTTCAGTCTGGCCCAGTCCCAGTTGCTGTTAGAATTTGGGGAGTTGGTCCCGGCACGACAGTATAGTGGTTAAGGTCCTTGCCTTGCACACCCAGGATCCCATATGGGCGCTGGTTCTAATCCCGCATCCCTGCTTCCCATCCAGCTCCCTGCTTGTGGCCTGGGAAAGCAGTTGAGGATGGCCCAAAGCTTTGGGACCCTGCACCGGTGTGGGAGACCCGGAAGAAGCTCCTGGCTTCGGAGTGGCTCAGCTCCAGCCGTTGTGCTCACTTGGGGAGTGAATCACCGGACAGAAGATCTTTCTCTCTGTCTCTCCGCCTCTCTGATAGGGGTACTTTTTGTTTGTTCCTATTTGCTTTTTCAAATAAACACAAATAAAACTTTAAAATGAAAAAAAAAAAAAGAGTAAAATGAAGTGAGCTAGAGAGCTACAGCAAGGTATACAATAGCATAGCTGGTAACATTTCTCCCACTTTGCAGATGTTTAGGATATACACTGACAAAGCCTAACTAAGCAGGTGTCAGTGTCCTTAGGGTGCTTGTCACGGAGCAGGATGAGGCCTGCAGGCAGCCTTGCTGTCCCAGATGGCATATGTCTGCAGTGTGTGCTGATTTGTTAACTTTCTTTTTAAATATAGAGATATATTATTCTAGTATAAAATATCGATTAGGAATTCCATATTATAAGTACACTGTCGAGCACAAGCAAGAACACACACTACTCATTCTTCTTGGAAGTTAAGTATGTTTACCTTATTTGATTTTTAAAAATTAGATAATTTTAGAGGTTAAAGAGAGGGTAGGGAAGAGGTAAAAGAGAGAGGGACTTTGTGTTCACTGGTTCACTCCCCAAATGCCTACAGTGGTCAGATCTGGCCCAGCGCTGACGCTGGGAGCTGCAAAGTCAACCCGCGCCTTGCATGTGGGTGGCAGCAATCCAACTCCCAGAGACAGCACCACTGCCTTCCAAGACTTACATCCGCAGGCTGATGGAGTCAGGGATCAAACCCAGGCACCCTCAGCTGGGACAAAGGTGTCTTACCCACCGGGCTAAGTCTCTGCTCTTGTATTCCTTATTGAAACTCACCTTGATAGCAGGGCTCACAGGAACAAAATGCTAATTGTAACATTGCAGACATACTTCTCACACTATCTCTCTTGCAGGTGGATGGGGGTTGAAGGATACTGTTTTTGATTTCACTGATAAATTCTGATAAGAAGCCTTAGTGCCCAACTAGTCTGATCCAGGAAAGCTACGTTAGCCTTGAGCAGGGGCTGTGGTTTATCTGAGGCCAGCCTTCTCTGCTGTCTGCCTCAGTTTCACAACCATAAAATGGGGAGAAGAATGAAGCTTTACTTGCTTTCTTAACACAAGGAAGACCGAGCAGTGACTCAAGTTGGAAGTGACTAAAGCTAGAAGAGGCACACATCCATATTGATTTATGAAGAATTTTTTTCTTCTTCAATGCACATTAAAGAAAGAGAAGCTGGGAAGTGATGGTAGCTATTTATGCCTGTGATGTCGGGTTGTGATAATACAGGGAGCCTGACCAAGGTCTGTTATTATAGACCATTGTTTCATTCTGGTGACACCAGTAATGGCAGCACAGCACAGGGAGACTGGCAAAGCCAACCATCACACACCACAACATGAACCAGTCTTTATGTCACTGTAACACCAACGAAGCCAAGGGCTACTGGAAGGTGATCCCTGTGTACACCTTAATTCATTTTTTTTTTCCCCAAAGATTTATTTATTTTTATTGAAAAGCCATATCAGATTTATAGAGGGAAGGAGAGACGCTGCAACCCAAAATGGCTGCAACGGCTAAGCTGAGCTGATTAAAAGCCAGAAACCAGGAACTTCTTCCGGGTCATGCTTACAGGTGCAGGGTTTGGGCAATCCTCAGCTTCTTTCTGAGGCCACAAGTAAGAAGCTGAATGGGAAGAGAAGCAGCTGGGACATGAACCGGTGCCCAAATGGGATCTCAGCACTTGCAAAGTGAGGATTTAGCTAACTGAGTTATTGCGCCAAGCCCATATGCCTTAATTCTTACACAGGTGCTCATGTTCACTTTTGCTTGGGCCAAGAGAAATGGACTTATAAGATTTTTAACACTAAATAATTTAACTTGTTTTAGCTCTAGAAAATACAAATCTAACAGATCACAACTATTTAATCATCATGGTGGATTATGATTTGGATATAATTTTCTCTTTTTTTCAATTGTTTCTAAGATTTATTTATTTTTACTTGAAGTCAGATTTACAGAGGTGAGGACAGGGAGAAAGATCTTTGATCTGCTAGTTCACTCCCCAAGTGGCTGCAAGGACTAGAGCTGAGCTGATCTGAAGCCAGCTACCAGGAGCTTCTGGAATGAAGAAAGCTTCTTCCATATTATCCGCACAGGAGCAGGTCCCAAGGTTTTGGGCTTTTCCATGCCACAAGCAGGGTGCTGATGCTAAGCAGAGCAGCTGGGTTTAGAACCAATGCCCATGTGGTGCATACAAGGCAAGGACTTTAGCCACTAGGCTACTGCACCAGACCCTGGATATAATTTCTTCTCAAAGCTTCTTCTCCCACTGTGTAGCGAGTCTAATCCCACTCTGACTTCCTGTACTGTGGTATGAATCCTCTCCTGCTCACACACTCCTGATATCTGCCAGAAGGTACTCACAAGTCCATGCCATACTCTTTGGTCTTTTTGCCTCTACAACTGTGAACTAAAGGAAACATCTTTTACTTATAAAATTACCTGCCTTGGGTAATTTCATTTATTTGTTTATTTGAAAGGCAGATTTACAGAGAAGAGAGAAAGAAAGAGATCTCTCCTCAACTGGTTCATTCCCTGAACGGCTACAACAGCTGAGGCTGGGTCAGGCTGAAGCCAGGAGCCTGGAACTCTGTCCAGGTGTGCCACATGGGTGCGGAGGCCCGAGCACTTGGGCCACCTCCTGTTGCTTTTTCAGGCACATTAGCAGGGAAATGAATCCAGAGGTAGAACACATGGGACTTGAACCAGTATCCACATGTAATATAGACAGTGGCTTAATGCACTGCACCACAATACTGGCTCTTCTACAAGCCCTCTGAAGAAGGCTTTGCACATGTATAGATTTCAGAATTTTTACAACAGAATTAACTTCTCAATTCCAATAATTTTTAAAAAGCTTTGTTTGGGCCCGGCGCAGTGGCGCAAGTGGTTAAACGTCCTCGCCTTGCACGCCCGGGATCCCATATGGCCGCCAGTTCTAATCCCGGCAGCCCCGCTTCCCTTCCAGCTCCCTGCCTGTGGCCTGGGAAAGCAGTCGAGGACAGCCCAAAGCTTTGGGACCCTGCACCCGCGTGGGAGACCCGAAAGAGGCTCCTGGCTTCGGATCGGCATAGTATCGGCCGTTGCGCTCACTTGGGGAGTGAATCATCGGACCGGAAGATCTTCCTCTCTGTCTCTCCTCTCTGTATATCTGCCTTTCCAATAAAAAAAAAATAATAAAAATAAATCTTAAAAAAAAAAAAAGCTTTGTTTTTTTCTCTTTTGATAGTCAGATTACAAAGAGAGAGATGGAGACAAAGATCTTGGTTCACTCCTCAAGTGGCTTCAATGGCCGGAGCTGAGCCGATCCAAGGCCAGGAGCCAGGAGCTTCTTCCTGGTCTCTCACATGGGTGCTAGGTTCCAAAGTTCTGGGTTGTTCTCTATTGCATTCCCAGGCCATAAGCAGGGAGCTGGAAGGGATGTAGAGCAGCTGGGATGGGAACCAGTGCCCATATGGGAAACTGGTACATGCAAGGCAAGGACTTTAGCCATTAGGCTACCATGCCAGGCCCTTCATTCCAATTTTTGAAGCACCATTTTATGAAATTTATAAAATAAATATGAAAAAATGGCCAGATATGGACTCGTGCAAATGGCACATATGTGAGTTACAAATATTCACACTTGTGTCTTAAAGTTCTTTGTCCTGGACTGATCATGGTACCCCTTTGAAGTGATGTGGTCAATTCCAGAAGAGGCCAAAGCTCATCAGTCTCTGAAATGATGCACACTTACTTTTCGAGGCTTCACCTTGTCTTGTAAGTCATACTGGCCAATTCCTTTATAGCTGATTCCAAGCCACCAAGGAAGTCCTTGCTTATCCTACAAGACAGAAAAGTATGAGATTCAATACCTAATTGTTAAGTCTTCCACAAGTGAAGTACTATTTTCCAATTTCATTTTTTAAAAGATTAATTTATTTTTATTGGAAAGGCAGATTGGATCTGTGGAGAGAAGAAAAGACAGAAAAATTTTCCATCTGATAGTTCACTCCCCAAATGGTCACAATGACCACAGTTGAGCTGATCCAAAGCCAGGAGCCTCCTCTGGGTCTCCAAAATGGGTACAGGGTACCAAGGTCTTGGGCCATCCTCTACTGCTTCCAAGTCCATAAATAGAAGTGGGATGGGAAGTGGAGCAGGTGGGACATGAACTGGTACCCATATAGGATCTTGGCATGTGCAATGTGAGGATTTAGTCACTAGCTATTATTTCAGGCTCCCAATTTCATTTATTCACAAGCATCAGCAAAAGCTGTCTTGGCAAATAAATGTTACCTAAATAAACTTGTTATGAAAATGCCTTCTTGGGCCCAGTGTGGTAGCCTAGTGGCTAAATCCTTGCCTTGCACACACTGGGATCCCATATGGATGCTTGGATAATCAGTTTCACATACTTCTGAAAATGGAAGGAGTGTGGTTTATTGACACAGGAAAAGGAAAACTTAGGTGGAGCCAAATACTTCTATGCAAATTAGAATCAGCAGAAGTTAAATAAGTTGGTACATATTTTTAATACTCAGTATCCTCATTACAGCAAGTATCCACTAGCTCTCTCTTATCATTCTGAATTGTCTACTGATATAAACACTGACACGACATGAAGTTACTAAAGAATTCCTCAATTATAAGATTACTCCTCTTCTAAGTTAGATTCCCTTCTTATCACCATCCTGTATTCCTCATCATCTCATAATATTTCTTAGCCAATTTCTCCCTACTTCACATTTCTGAAAATACTAAGCAAGCACAAAACATATTGATTGAAAAGTGGTGTGGCCATTCCTGTAAAAACTTCAGCACTTCACGAAGTTGTGAACTAATGTTGGAAACTACACATACACACACACGCACACACACACACACACGGCATTATCAAATGAAGATTTGGTGGCAGCCTAAAGGTGAACAATTGGAAAATCGAAAATTGAACCAGGCAAAGTGCATATGAACATTTTAGGACTAAGAGAAAGCTTGACAAAACATGAACAGAGCACACATTTAAAAAAAAAAACAGTATGCCTTATAATTTGCTAAAAATGACAAGATTTCATCAGGCATTTTTCCCCCAATTTAAGAAAATCCTTTTCTAAATGCTGCCATTTCAAGACAGTTTACAAATACATGTGTGTTGGTATAAGTGAGCTTTGAAAGTTGATGTTGTGGGGTTGGCACTGTTGCATATCAGGTAAAGCCGTTGCCTACAACACCAGCATCCCATACGGGCTCTGGTTTGTCTCCTCTTCTGGTCCAGCCCGCTGCTTGAGAAAAGCAATGGAAGGTGGCCCAAGTGTCTGACATCCTGTCACGCCTAGGGAGACCCAAATGAAGCTCCTGGCTTCAGCCTGGCCCGGACCTGGTCACTGCAGCTACCTGGAGGACCAACCAGTAGATGCAAGACATCTTCCTCTCTCTTTCTGTAACTGTTTTCCAAAGAAACAAATGAATTAAAAAAAAATTAAAATGCTGATTTTGTTTTGGATTGGCATAATAGGCATTATGAAAGCATTTGTGATAGTAAAGTGCTTACCTTTACTGCGTAATAATGGACTCCGTAAGTTGGCAGAGCTTCCACTATTTTCATATACCTGTGGTGAATGAGTATATATTTTAACTTTATTAAAAAATCACTTTTGAGAAAAGAGATTGAAAAAAAAAGTTCATGGATATTTTTCTTGTTGTAAGCAGCACTAATGTTTTTGACTCAAGTAGAAAGAAAATAAACCATTTAGGAAAGTAATAGGTTTTACCTTCTTCTAACGTTATCAGTAGCTAGCAGAACCTCCATTTCAAAAAGCTAGAGCAAGTATCACTTTTTGCATATTAAGATCGCTATGACTTAGAAGTCTACTGTATTATACTTTCAAATCACAAAGATATTTTGAAAGGAACCACCTAATGATATGGGCAAGGACCATCAACTTTTGAGTCATGCTTATAATAAACAAAAAATAAACGAAAAATAAAGGTATGCTTAATGATTGTGGGAGAGGTTAAATCATCGCAAACATCTGTTGTAACTCTTGAAAACATTTATTTTGAGGGTCTGAATTTCATGTACACATGACTTAAAAAATACACCCTCTTAAATGTGAAAATTAAAGGAATGATGCCACCATCGGCTTTTGTAATTCAACAAGTATTTACTATGCATGTTCAGGGCAGACAACACTGGAAAGAACTTCCCCTTTGCCTCCAAAAACTGGGAGCGCTGCTTAATCTAAGTAAACTTTCTTAAAAATGACATTTTGAAGATCAACTTCTCTGGACATTGCACAGTTCACAAATTAAAAAAAAATTACATTAATTACGTTGCATTATGTGACACAGATTCATAGGCTCTGGGATTCCTCCACCCCCTCGGTGGATTCCTCCACCTAGTTGCAGTATTACAGTTCAAATTATGTCAAGATTCTTTCATTGTAATCATATAGCAAGCAAGAGTCCAGCATCTTATTGTCCAGATAAATTCAACAGTTTCTTGGGGAGACCTTCTTTGGTCTGAAGGTAGAGCTGGCAGAATATCGTCCCAATCAATTAGAAGCCCCAGCACAACATCAACAACACTTCACAACATTATAGAATTAATTGACATAGTATTGAGTAATCAATACGTTATAACAATGCAAGTTCTTAACCACCACCTGTGATTACTTCATTGATCCTTCAATTTTTGTTTGTACTCAGCACCGGCTGCTATACACCTTAAAGTGGCTATAGGGTACTATCCAGCTGTCTCGTGCCTGTTTTCATTTTAGTATTTAGCTGTTTATTCTGTTGACGCATAATTTTGCTGAACTTGGTAGATTTTAGGATAGTCTTAAACTGGCTTATAAATCTAACCAGGCCTTTGTCAACAGTTGAGGTGCAGAACAGTTTTAAGAGGGGTGTGCAGAGAAATCTTCCATACCCTAGTGAGGAGTAACTAATCTTTGTGTCCTATCTGGTAAGGTATATGTGGATCCACACTGATCATTTCCTGTTTAGTTCTAAGCTTTCCTTGTATTTCCCTGACTATTTAATTTTGGGGGGGGAGGTGTGGAGGGGCTCCGGGGTGATCCTGATGGTCATTGCAAGAGAGGGTGGGGATCCAAAGCTACAGTTCACGAATTTTTAAAGCGCATGTCCTACATGTAAATAACCACAACAGGTTAAGAAACGAGCAAGGTCAGGCAGTTCATCTGCATGCCTAGATTCTAACAAAGCGAATCAGATGCCACAGCAAGAACTTCTTTTTTTTTTGTCTTTACCAAGTTACAAGATCTTTTGTTTGGAGCCACTTGAAAGTTATCAAGAGAAGTTAAAGGACCTTGCACATACGCAAAAACACTGAGTATTGTGTAATATGCCCACTAATCTAACCTTAAATCCCATTAGAAAACTGTTAGTCTTTCGTGTTCAGCTCAGGAAACAGACACAATCGATTAAAATGCTAAAGATTCAACTTCAGAACAGTTACCTCTTACTTCTACCTTGAAGACTGCCAGGTGTGTTAAGATAAAAAGACCAGAGCAATAGCAAGCAGATGAAGGCAAATCTATATGTTGACCTTGAATTTAGTGATTGTTAAGTCCTGGTTACAGTTTTCACTTGTTCTATGTTATACTCGGTGTTTTTTTTTTTTTTTTTAATTTCTTTGGCCATAGAGGTTATTTTACAATAACTATAGCAATAATGTACCTAAAATGGATCTGTTTTTATAACTTAAAAAATTTAATGTGGGAAGTGAATTGCCTATAATGAATGGGTGGTGGCTCTGCAAGTCATGAAATACAACAATATTGCTATACTTTTGTGGTTTGCTCTTGGTAGCACAAAAAGTTCACATCATCCAGCACCAACAGCACTGCTTCTTCCATCCCGAGTCACAGTTTAAAAAATCAAACACTCTCTAAATGGGTTATGCTTGGTTCATATAATACTAGATTTTTCTTCAAATAACTTCCTAATATTTGAGAGTAAAAGTATGATTTTCCAGCTTTTGGGGGGAGGTATCAGAGGAGCGGACAATACTGAGTAACTTTGCCTCTATCCAGGATGAAAACTTTCTGTCTCCCCACGATCCTACCACTCCCTACTGCCCCACGTCTGGCCTCCAGTTCTCATCTTCATTACCTGTCTGACACTAGCAAGCATCTGAGTTGGTGATATCAGTGTAAGATACGATCCAAGAGATCGCGTCAGAGGCTCTTCAGGTGGAGGATGTCAAAATGAAAAGGAAGATACTTACTGCACCACAGCTTGACCTCGAGTTAGACCTTTGAGTTTCAAATAATGCTCAATTACTCTGTCCTCACTGTAAGACAAGAAAATGAACATTGAACATTATGGCAAGATACAATCTTCTGACACAGATATCATTGCAGGTGCTCAGGTGGTTCTTGGAAACTCGCTCGGGGAAGCTTTCACCATCTTGTTTAGAAGACAGAATCTGGCTAATGTTTGTTTCTATATTACAAGATTCCTGAATTTCAGACATCTGATTTACCTCCATTATAATCTTTATTTTGTAAATTTACATAAGACTATGAATATAGTCTGAAAGCATTTACCTTATTGGAAAGTGAGAACATAATGACAATTTCTCACATGGAAAAAAATAACACTTTCTGCATCAACTACATGGAATATAATGTATTCAAAACAAAGATACTAAAAGCCATCTGGAGTGCACTGTTGGAACATCTTGAGCATATGACCTATTGTTTCTGTGGTTCAAAAAGGGAGACTGGGGCGGTTATTTGGGCTAGCAATTAATATGCTGGTTAAGATGTCTGTGTCCCACATCAGAGAGCCTGTGTTCGGGCCCTGGTCCTGCTCTCAACTGTTGTTTGCTGCTAACATGCATCCATGCAGACAGCGGGTGATGGCTCAAGTGGCTGGTTCCGATGAGATTTCTCTCTCTCCAATAAGTAAGAATATATTTTTAACTTCAAAAAAGAGAAGCATTCATTATTAAAGATTTCCCTTTTTAAATTACTCAATAAATTTTTAAAAAGAATTAAAACCATCTCTGAGTTTGAGTACAGTGTGTAAAACTCTATCTCATGGATTCATTCTTCTAAGAGAAAATCCTTGATTATTATTCTGGGATAAAATGTGTTGGCTGGGAAGGAGAGAATAAATTGAATTCAGGCAAATTTTACACCATCTACCTCATTCTGCTTTCTGACAGGGAACTGTTCTATTGTACCTCAAATATTATCTAAAAGAATAAATATTTTTATATCTGTATGACTAAAAATCATTCTTTTGTCTCTTCCCTATAAGAAATTATCACATAGCAATGATTTCATCTAGGGGGCTCCAAAATCAGGCTGCAATGTAGCCTCAAGACTTACTGCCACTATGTATTTGGGAAACACATTTCAACTGCATTGTTAATACTATCAATATTGAATGCTTGTTTTTAATCTTTATTTAGTTGTGCTTTTTCTCCCCAACAAGTATCCAGGGGATTTGGAGACTGAAATCAAGAAGAAAATATCTAAAGTTTAATTCAAGTGAAAGAAAGTAATGCACTAGAAAAAAACATGGGCTGGAGGGTGGGAACTACAAACTTGTTAAAAGAGAAACAACTAAAACAACCCTAAATGCATAATGGTATCTGCCTATAGAGAAAGCTGCAAGTCAGTAAGGGAACCCCCTGCGTTTTCTAAGACTTATACTGCATGATGCAGGGTCAAGGCTGCTTTGCACAGTGACAGCACACACATGGAACAAGTTCCCCTAAAGACACACTTCCCAGGCATTTTGTGCATTTGAAAGAAAGGCCACAGAGCAGTTCCCTACAAATGACAGTGAAACACATCTTGATATTATGATCTCCAGTGAGCTTAGACAAGATTTTTTTTTTTTTTTGCTGAAAGGATGGAGGCTGGTGCTGGTGCCATGACACAACTTGATAAGCCTGCAGGGTCAGCATCACATATGGGTATGGATTTGAGACCCAGCTGCTCCACTTTTGATCCAATTCTTTGCTAATGTATCTGGAAAAACAGTGGAGGTTGGCCTAAATGTTTGGGCCCCCTTGCAACCCATGTGGGAAACCTAGTTGAAGCTCCAGACTCTTGGGCTTAGGTCTGGTTCAGTCCTGGTGGTTATAGCCTTTTGGGGAATGAGCCAGCAGATGGGAGATCATTCTGTCCCACTCTGTCTCTCCCTGTTTCTCTGTAACTACACCTTTCAAGCAAAAGACAAACAAAATTAAAAATAAATCCTTAAAAAGGAGAGAAAGGATGGCTGTCTATCTATGGTCACTTTGATATATTTGATGGGTAAACTGATGTTTTCCTGAAAAGCATGTAGTTCTCACAAGAGGCTCTGAGAATGGTCATCTGTTATCTTACCAGTAAGCAAGGGACGGATGTTCCTGAAGCGTTTTGGTAGGAAAGGCTGGCAGTGTCTTTAAATCTTTTCTGGCATTTTCATCACTACAAAAAGAAATACAGCACAGTAGTGTCAGACACAAATGTCAGGCACCAGTTATCCAGTCACAAGATGGGAGAGATGTGAAAAAAGTAACTAGTGACAGCGAATTCGGCTGTGCTAACACATAAGGTATGGATTCTAAGAGGTAACAGTCTCCAGACTTGACATTCAACTCAATATTTTGACGTTTATGTTTTTTGGCATGCATCTATTCCATGACCTAATTATGGTAATTGCACATTTTTCATGTTGTATTTTACACAACATTCTTCACACACACACACACACACACACACACACACACACACACACACACACACACACACAATACTTTTTCCATGTCCTTATAGCATTCTAAATGTTATCTATTTTTAAAATACCAATTTTTTTTTTTTTTTTTGGAAGGGCAGCATTACAGAGACAGAGGGAAAAAAAGCCAAGAGTTCAGAAACTTCCTCTGGGCATCCCATGTGGGTGATAGGGATTCAAGTGCTTGGGCCATTTGTTGCTGCTTTCCTACCTTAGCAGGGAGCTGAAGTGGAAGTGCAGCAGCTAGCACTAATCCAGTGCTCATGTGGTAACTACATTTGTTTTGCCACAAATTGGTCCCCTCCTATTTGTGTTTGGTGGCCAAGTCATATTCACTTGGTTGAAATATTGGTTGTCAAAACAATCAGGCCATAAATTCATCATTATTTATAACAGCCATCTATCAATGAATAAAAAGGCAGTAGACCATTCCATTACAATTCTATGATTTCTTAGCACACTCAGAAATATAATGACTCGGGTTAGCATTGTATTGTTGTGTAAAACCCACCACCTTCGGGCCCAGCGCGGTGGCGCAGTGGTTAAAGTCCTCGCCTTGCACGCCCGGGATACCATATGGGCGCCGGTTCTATCCCGGCAGCCCTGCTTCCCTTCCAGCTCCCTGCCTGTGGCCCGGGAAAAAGCAGCAGAGGACGGCCCAAAGCTTTGGGAACCTGCACCCGCGTGGGAGACCCGGAAGAGGCTCCTGGCTTCGGATCGGCATAGCATCGGCCGTTGTGCTCACTTGGGGAGTGAATCATCGGATGGAAGATCTTCCTCTCTGTCTCTCCTCTCTGTATATCCGCCTTTCCAATAAAAAAATAATAAAAATAAATCTTAAAAAAAAAACCCACCACCTTCAATGCTGGTGTCTCATAGGAACACTGGTCAAGTTCCAGTGACTCTTCTTATTCTTCCTCTTCCTTGTTTTTTTTTAAGGTTTCTTTTTACTAAAAAGTCAGATTTACAGAGAGTAGGACAGAGAGGAAGAGCCTCCATCCGCAAGTTCACTCCTCAAGTGGCTGCAACAGCTGGAGCTACACTTATCTGAAGCCAGGAGCCAGAAGCCTCCTTTGGGTCTCCCACATGGGTGCAGAGTCCCAAGGCTTTGGGCTCTCCCATCCTTCACAGGCAGGGAGTTGGAAGGTAAGTGGAACAGCTACGATACAAACCAGCACGCATATGTGATCCCAGCGCATGTGAGGCGAGGGCTCCAGCCAACAGGCTAACACGCTGGGCCCTGACCCTACTTTGAGTTACCTCCCTGCTAATGTGTCTGGGAAAGTGAGCACCTGTGTGAAACCCTGACGGAGCTCCAGGTTCCTGGCTTCGGCCTGGATCGTCCTTGGCCACTGTGACCATTTGAAGAGTAAACCAGCACATGGAAGATCTGTTTCTCTATCATCTCTCTCCCTCTCTCTACGCTCTCCTGCCTTTCAAACAAATAAATAAACATTTATTTTTTAAAAAAACGTGGAAGAGTTGGGTATTCTGCTGTTTGATGAATGAAAACCCATTTGATCAGGATTTTGTGAAGCTTTCTTGGGCACGTATTTTAGGCTCTACTAGACCTCACAAGGCCATGTTTCTTTTCTCACAGGCCATCCCTTTAAACAGTTGGGGCACTCATTTGAAGAGTATTTTCTGTGATATAGGGCAGGACCAACTCTGAATGGCCAGTATTACCTGTTTTCACTCTTTTTTTTTATTAAGATGCATGAAGACCACACCTTTCTCTTGACAGCTTGCATTTTGGTATTTTATAATTAGATAATTGTTGACCTCACATGAGGTATGTGTTAATTTACTTAATGTGATTTGAAGAAGACCTCGGGTTTCGCTAGCAACATGTTTTGCAGTCATCCACTGGTCTTCCTGCCTTCACCATTAGCTAGCTTTGCGGAGGTCACTGAGTGTCAGTAAGCCGAGGCATCCTTTCTGAGTAGTATATATCTCAAATAAGGCTCAGCACAACCTTCCCTGGTGAGAGGTACTGTTATTATTCCCTCTCCTCAGGCAGAGCGTGGGGTTTAGAGAAACTAAGTTGCTGGCTCATGCCTAGTCTTGTGCGGAGAAGCCAGAAGCGAAGCCTGCTCTGTTGGGCTCCAAAGGCCAAGTTCTTCAACGTTGTATTCTGTGATCCGTTTCTCCAAGAGATTCCCTGAACAGTGTCCTTGAGAGGAACATTTCTGACTCTGGAAAGGCATAGCTCCCTTTCACCCCTTTTTCACCTTCCGTGGAGTTTGCTACATCATAAGTTGTTCATTATTGGGGATGGTGCTGTGGCACAGTGGGTTAAGCCGCTGCCTAGGATGCCCACCTCTCATATTTGAGGCTGTTTGAGACCCAGCTGCTCACTTTCAATCCAGATACCTGCCCATGTACCTGGGAAGGCAGCAGAAGTGGCACTCCACCAGGAAGGAGTTCTTTGGAATGAACCAGCTGTCTTTCAAAGGAGTTTAAATAAACAGCTCTTTATAAGATTTCACAAATATTCACATACATTACCAATTGAAGATATTTTATTCATATGTATATTTACACCAATAATTATGACTTCACAAGTACAAAAACAAAACTTCAAAAAAAAAAAAAAAGACAGTTCTTTTTGTTACCTAATCAGTTTAGGTGTTTCATTAATGCCCACACAAAAAGCTGTTTTCTGGAGTTATCAAGTTTCCCGACCTTACCACAGGACAGTGTGTACTCACTGAGTAAACTCTACATAAACTTTCAGTAAAAACAGACAATGAAAGTAAGTGTTACTAGCATGGGGATTCTATGGCTTGTACTTGTCAACATTACATTTCAAACCAGGCTTTTGACTTTTCTTGAAGGTGGACAAACAGCTTTCCACATTTCTACAGGAAATAAAAAGTCACTCGGCTCCTGTTCTTACATCAGAATAAATCCCTCTATTCATTTGAAACCTGAGTTGCACTGGCTTAAGCACACTGACAATCTTGGGAAACTGGTTTGGGCTTCCTGAAAATTAAAATATGCTACAATCCAGTTTATTCATAATAAAAGGTCAGCTGTCACACCCTGGGTTAATATTTATTTTTCTTAGTAATTTCTTTTATCCTCTGTCCATTTGTTTTAGAAGAAGTTGGCCAGTGATTTTTTTTTTTTAACAAAGCGCAAAGGCATGTACAGATCCTACAAATGGTAAAATCAGGACAGGTTTTGTCATTGATCATCAAAACCACTCACAAGTATGTTTTCCATGTTCCAGTCTAGCATTTGCCTGTTTCTGTGGGTTATTGTTAATTTTGCTGAAAACAGGATCTCACTAGATTAGAAGCTGCTATCTATCATAAACTTATTAACAAATATGCCTGCCTAACATGTAAGAACAATACCATGTGACATAGTTGCTTTTAACTTATATAAACAGTCAGTTGTAGCTCAGGAGAGAGGGAAGAATAGTGAGGGAGAAATTATATCCTTCATTCTTGAATAAACTCAAGGTTAAGAACAGATAAGACATGGAAGTATCAAGTTATTATCTGGGGCTCAGTGTGGTAGCCTACCGGCTAAAGTCCTCACCTTAAACATGCAGGGATCTTATACGGCTGCTGGTTCTAATCCTGGCAGCCCTGTTTCCCATTCAGCTCCCTGCTTGTGGCCTGGGAAAACAGTCGAGGATGGCCCAAAGCCTTGTAGGAGACCCAGAAGAGGATCTGGGCTCCTGGCTTCGGAGTGGCGCAGCTCCAGCCATTGTAGCCACTTGGGGAGTGAATCAATGGACAGAAGATCTTCCTCTCTCTATATATATCTGACTTTACAATAAAATTAAATAAATCTTTAAAAAAAAAAGATATTTTTCTGTGTCCCTTAGACTAGAAGCATGTGACAGCAATGAAATTTTCCAGAATTTAACCCACCTCTTTTAAAATACAAATAGCTTTTGTAGTTAGTACCTAACTAAGGAAATAGCTATGGAGAAACACTGTCTATGTTGGACTTAGTGCAAGAAATTTTAGTTTTCAATGTCATCTTCAAGAATTTCCAAGAGTAGTTTTAACTATACACAATAAGAATGCATCCAGTTGCAAGATATGATAAGAAATGCTGACTGAATAAATCAATAAATTATTAAAGGTTAATTACAAAGCAACATCCAAATTAACAATGAATATTCATTCATGAAGACCTTATTTTGGTATTAATCAGTCACTGAAAAGCAACTCCAATGCACATTAATAGAAAATAGCTTAGAGATCATTTTAAGGAGAGTCCTGTCTATGTCTTTTAGTCAGCCATTTGAGGTTAGTATCAGGGTGAAGTGGGTGAAGCCACCATCTGAAAGTGCCAGCTTCCCCTACGGATGCCAGTAATTCACTGCTAGGTTGTCTCTGCCATGTGGAGATAAAGACCAACCATTGCCTAACTGCAGTATTTTTTAAAATATATATTTATTTATTTATTGAGAGAGAGATGGAGAAATAGAGAGATCTTTCCTATGCTAGTTCATTCCCCAAATCGGTACAAGAGACAGGGCTCGTTTGGGAAATCAAGTAACCAGGACCTTCTTCTCAGTCTCCCGCATGACTGGCAGTAGCCCAAGTACTTGGGCCACCAGCTGCAGCTTTCACAGGCTCATTAGCACGGAGTTAGATCAGAAGTGGAGCAGCCGGGACCTGAATCGGCACTCACATGGGATGGTGGCATCACAGGGGGTGGATTTACC